TCGCTCTGCCAACCAGAGGACACAAAAATGGGTTGAACGGTTTCTGCGAGGTGCGATGGCGCAATATCGATCAGAAGGTTTTGATCTTGTACTACCTCGCTTCTGAAAAGCTCTGGGTTCTCAATATAACACCAGTCAGATATATAGACTGACAGCTGTGGAGTTCGAACCCACGCCCTTTCAGACTGGCCCTTAAGCCAGCGCCTTAGACCACTCGGCCAAACTGTCGATGAGTGCTTCAAGATTCATAGCCGAGGTGATGCATCGCTCTGCCAAACCAGAGGACACAAAAATGGGTTGAACGGTTTCTGCGAGGTGCGATGGCGCAATATCGATCAGAAGGTTTTGATCTTGCACTACCTCGCTTCTGAAAAGGTCTGGGTTCTCAATATAACACCAGTCAGGTATATAGACTGACAGCTGTGGAGTTCGAACCCACGCCCTTTCGGACTGGCGCCTTAAGCCAGCGCCTTAGACCACTCGGCCAAACTGTCGATGAGTGCTTTAAAAATCATAGCGGAGAAGATGCGTTACACTATAGGACATGACACAAAAACGGTTTCGAACCGTTTCCGCGGAATGCGTTCTTCATCAAATCACACGAAGAGAAATTTCTTACAGCTGTGGGATTCGAACCCACGCCCTTTCGGACTGGCGCCTTAAGCCAGCGCCTTAGACCACTCGGCCAAACTGTCGATGAGTGCTTCAAGATTCATAGCCGAGGTGATGCATCGCTCTGCCAAACCAGAGGACACAAAAATGGGTTGAACGGTTTCTGCGAGGTGCGATGGCGCAATATCGATCAGAAGGTTTTGATCTTGCACTACCTCGCTTCTGAAAAGGTCTGGGTTCTCAATATAACACCAGTCAGGTATATAGACTGACAGCTGTGGAGTTCGAACCCACGCCCTTTCGGACTGGCGCCTTAAGCCAGCGCCTTAGACCACTCGGCCAAACTGTCGATGAGTGCTTTAAAAATCATAGCGGAGAAGATGCGTTACACTATAGGACATGACACAAAAACGGTTTCGAACCGTTTCCGCGGAATGCGTTCTTCAT